TAAACACGTGCCGCCGCTGTCGCCCCCCCGCCCATCTGGGGGGGCTGGGCATGGGTGCGCGGTAGAAGGGGCACCCCAGGGCAAAGTGAGCTAGACCCATTAGACCCAAAAATAAACACGCGCGCCGCCGCCGCTCGCTTGTTTGAACGGGCTGGGCTTGGGCTTAGGCTTGGACGCGTGGTGTGAGGTTGGGTTAGGCTCGTCCAGCCCAATACAAATTCTTTTTGGGCCAAAAAAATTTAAATTTTATTTTATTTTTTGGTAAAATAAAATTTGTCCAGTTTTAATTTTAATTTTTAATTGGAAAAAATTCAAATTTGTTTGCACCTCTTCAGAATTTCGGTACAGGTTCCAAACATATTTATATCTGTTTAAATTCTGTCTGCACAGATTCAAATATGTTTAAATTCAAAACCCAAATAGTGCCATATCTGTTGGATTCAAACCGAACAGGTCTTGTACTTGTTCAAACAGGTTTGGTACCTGTTTAATTCAAACCGAACAACCACATTTCCATCTATAAATAGGCAATCCCTCATTTGGATTTAGCATTCAATTTTTGTTCTTCTCTGCTGCCATTAATCTCTGCATTTTACTACATTAATTTTCTGTGAGAAAGAATGTATACACTTAGTTGCAATGTGAATAGTTTGTAGTGCTGCTACTATTCACTGTTGATCATTTTATCCTAGGAGATAGACATCCACAATCTAAAAACACCGTGGAGATGACGAATCTGTCTTAAGGATAAACACTGGACTTGATCAAAAATTTGTTCGACAAATAAATAAGGCCAGTATTTAATTTATTTCAATTTATTTATTTATATTATATTTTGATTTTGTTTTTGTAATAAAATAAAAATCTATTTTATTTTATTTTATCTTTTATACTGTTTTGATTTTTGTAATCAAACAGTCTCTCTCATCTCTTTAATTCTTTAACTACAGTGAAGATTGTCTAATAAGTTTGGCCCAAGAATATATATATATATACAGATTGTATATATGTTACTCTTGATGAAAAGTTTGTATGGTTTAGTGGTTTAGGGTGGGGAGGTGGGTTTGGCAAGGTATAGGGAAGAGGAAAGGGACATTGGTATGGGGGAGGTAAAGGGGAGTGTATAAAAAGAAGTAGTAGAGAAAAAAAAAAAGAAGATGAATGGTATTTTTGTAAATTTGAAGGTGAATGAGGGGTCATTTAGTCATAAAAATTCACTTACTCTCCCTCTAGATGCGTGAGCCTTACATTCCGTTAACTTGGATAGAAAAGTTGACGATGTACTTTGGTCCAAAACCATATAGGGGTTATGTGATTATTTTCAAATGTCAGAGGGTAAACCATACTTGACTCAAACTACAGGGATAAAGTAAAGTTTATCCTAAAATTTATCAAAAGCAATTACAAGAAAAGCCTCTATAGAGACCAACAATTGTAAAGATAGATGAACATTTTCTGTTCTGTCTAAACACGTTGTCCATCTTCTTCATAAGCTAACCTACATGTTAGGTTTTATTCTTGGCAATCTCGTTTGACCAAACTCCTTTCAGTTGTACTTGTTTTCACTTTTTTATTTCAGTGAGGCTATAAGTTTTTAGATGCGAATCTAATCCGAATTGTGTCTTACAGAGAAGTTTGTGGTGCTAATTCTTTCATGATTGCCACTTCGCTGACTATGATGGGGATTAAGATGCTCGGTCAGCTCGCGGGGGTCCAAGGGGCAGCATCCTTTGGTGGGTCAGGGGCAGCGCCACAGCGGGTTGAGGGGCAGCGCCCCCGAAACAAAATGCAAAAGTGCATTCAAAGTTGCCTGCCCGCTCGAGCAGCCATTTGTACGCTCGAGCGGAGAACCCTTGGTTCCAAAAGTTTGATCGCCTACAAAAATATTAGCAGTTGCATTTTTCCGCTTGAGTGGAAATTCCTGCGCTCGAGCGTCGGTCCGCTCGAGCGGCCATTCTGGCGCTTGAGCGAAGATCGTGGAACAAATTGTTATAAATATGTGTTTCAGTCAGATTTTAGGGTTATGCTTCCAGATCTTCTTCTTGGATATTAAGGTTTATATCTGAGGCTATTTTGCTAGTTTTCTTTGATATTTTATTGAGTATTCAACTATGGTTTAAGAAATATACATCAAAGGATTGTTTGTTTATTCTATACAAAAAAGAGAGTTATCTTCGGTGGATTCTGGAGAATTCGAACCTGAAGCTTTGGTAGATTCTAGAGTGGCTCATCGTCGTGATTCGACATCGGCGTTGTGGGTTCAACGTTAGGCAAGAGAATTCTGAGGTGAAGACGAGGCTGGAAGAAGCACATAGGGGTTGGTTCAATTTGGGCGTTGATTCGTTAAATAATTGAGAGTGTACCTGTGTAATTCATTTATGTCTTTTTAGTGAATTATTTTGTGACTTTTGTCCGTGGTTTTGTTTTATTACAATTGGAGGCGCTTCAATTGTGATTTTTTCATGTAAAATCGTTGTGTTGATTTGTCTTTAATTGTTTGATTGAAATTATTATTTACTAATTAAAATTGATACATAATCACAAATCAATATCTAAAAAATTTCTAGATTTTTGACTACATAAATCATGTGCAACAGAATTACCTTTCCTAAACACATGACTCACAAAAAAAAAAAAAAAAAAAAAAAAAAAAAAAAAAAAAAAAACTTGAAAGGAACGAAACAATCATGAATAGATATTAATAATAAATTTTCAAACATGGACTAAGCTGAAATTCTCCTTTTATTATGTCTACTGTTTTTTAATTATTACTCATTAATTTTTCCATTTTTTTTCTTATTCATATATTTTCAGAAAAAAAATAATTTACATTGGACCGTGTAGTACACAGCTTCCTTCGGTGGCATTGCCACATATTATGCCCACAAAAGACCTAAAATGCGCCAAAAGGAACGTTCACCTATTGGTCGGCTCAAGTGTTCAATAATTATAGATGGAAAGAAGAAAAAATTTATAGAATATGTAAGATGTAAGTAATTTTGTAATAAGATATTAGTGAAATATTATACAGGTATAAATCACACACCTCATTACATTTGTGTAAAAAAAAAAATTAATATAAATCACACACCTCTTTATAGTTGTCTAAAAAAAAAATAAGGAACTTACCAATAAGTCTTATATATAAAATTTAAGATCCATCTAATCATCAAATAAAATAATTACACCAATTAGTCCTATACATTTTTAATTGTTACCAAAAAAATTTATTTTATTTTTTAAAAAAAATTTACAGACACTGTTACACTTTACTACCGTCGGACTTCCGTAAAACGGTCACCAGAGACTCGTCCGAATGTTTAACATCACCGGGAAGTCGCCGGAGTATCACCGAGAAGTCGTCGGAGTATCGCCGGAAGTTCACCGAAGTGTTAAGAATGTTAATGGAAGTCACCATAATGTTCAGAACGTTCATTGAACGTTAAGAATATCACTGAAGACTCACTGGAATGTCTAGAATATTGCTGAAAAAAAAAAGAATAAATGGAGAAATTAGAGCGAACAAACATAGCAAAATGTGTTAAATATTGATAAACTAAAAGAAAAAAAATAAGACAGAAAACAACAACAATGGAAAAAACATATAATATTTTTCAATTTTTGTAGAGTTTAAGCAAATAATCTCTAATATTGATCAAACTGAAAAGTAAGTTTTAAAACTGTAAAATGTTTCAGTTTCAAAGCAAAAATCTATTAAGCATTTATCCTTATTAATCAAACTGAAAGACATGTTATGAAACTGTAAAATTTTGCAGTTCTAAATTTTACAGTTCTAAAGAATATTATGAAACTACAAAATTTTACAGTTCTAAAGAATATAATGAAACTGCAAAATTTTACAGTTTTATACCATGATTTATTCCAGCACCAAAAAAACTTGAAACTGCAAAATTTTACGGTTTTAAACTATGATTCATTCCAGCACCAAAAAAATTTGAAATTTGAAATTTTACAGTTTTCACCACCTGTAACTAAAACTCGAAAACAACTTGTTTAGAACTTGAAAATTTTCTCCATTAGAACAGAAAAAGAGAAGTGCATAGCAGAGAAAATGTAGAAAAAAAAAAGAGATCGAAGGAGAAAGGCGGATATAGAGAGAGAATTGTACTTCGACAATTATTTTTTATTTAGATCTACATCAAATCTGATGTAGATCTACATCAAATCTAAGTAGATCTACTCATCTTCTTCGTCGGAAACATATCTTCTTTACCATCGACAATGGTGAAGTAAAGAGTCGGCGGTCGGTGGTTGCCGATGAATCCCAATCAATGGTAGTCATCGGTCGCTGGTGACTATATATTGAAAAGAGAAAGAGAAGAAGTAAGATAAGCTTACCTATTAACGATCGCCGAAAATCACAAAGAACAAAAGAGGTAAAGAAAAAAAGAGGCAGAGAAGAAAAATAACGTTATAAGACGTTTGGGCATCAATAAAAGATTATGGGACTAAATAGGCTACACGTTTTTCAAAAAAAACTTCTCGGTAATTTTTTCAAAAAAAAATTAATATAAATCACACACCTTTCAATTCATCATCTAAATTGGAGGATCTAGTCCGGCTCATTGAGTCTATTTTTGAACCCCTTTTCGATAATCTAAGCTGCACATATTTTAAGATTTGTTGAGGACATTATCTCTGTAAAAAATCACGTCGATGAATAACAGAATCATTTTTTTATGAATCGTTAATTTTTTAACTATCTATTTTTTTTAGATAAAAGTGATTGAATATATAGTATTTGTTATTCAATCGACGTATTTTTTATAAGAATAATATCCCTAACAAACTCTAAAACATGAATAATTCGAATTATTAAAAAAAAATCAAAAGTAAATTCAATGGACCGAACTAAACCGGATTGTCCTATATGGATACAGTCCGGATCCATTTGTGTAAACCATTACATCTCAGTGTCATTATTGTAATTTTAATTTTGTTTCTATTTTTAAATTTCAATAGTCTTTGTTTTCACCTTCGGCAATGCGCCTATGGCCACCAAAACCATCCCTATAAATACCTAGCTGCAGCTTCTTTTCTCTCTCCTCTCTCGTTTTGCTTCCTTCTCTTGGAAGCAGAGAGAGTGTGAGAGAGAGAGAAAGGGGGACTGAGCCCTATCCCTTCCTTTGATATTTCAATGTCCAAGTAAGCTAATTATTGATTGCATCGATCGTTCAATATCTGAATTGCTTATTTGCTTAAAACCCTATGCTATGGAGCTCAATTGAAATCACAAACTTGATAGTCTCATAGATCAAAATCCATTTTCATTACTCATTTCATTGCTTCTTGATTCAAAATATGCATTGTGTATCTGTTTGATCATATGCGCGATTCTCTCTCTCTCTCTCTCTCTCTCTCACACACACACACACACACACACACTCATATGAGAGTGCTTCATCGTAGATTTTGTTTATCTTTGATCTGATGTGTGGGATTTGTTTTTGAGTTCACATTGTTGCAAGACGCCTCCGCAATCACATATTTTTTTTTTTCTGTATTGTATTGATGGGACTTTAAGGCTTGGTTTGGGTTGGTTTGGTTTGATGGAAACAAATTTAGTGGTAGTTGAGTAACTAGCACTGTATTCAATGTTAGTGCTTTCTGAAAGTTTTGCAATTAAATGTTATTTTTATTTTGATTTCAGATAGAATCAGAGCTTTGGAAATATGGAGACTCTTTTTAACTTTTGTTTGTGGAATTCAATACATACAGTTCCCGTTGTAATTCGGATGTATGCCTGTTTATTTACTGTGTAAAGTCATTCTTATTCAATTTTTTGAGTTTTGTTTCTTCTATAAATACAATAGCTTTGCTCATTTTTATGATTTACGTAAAACCTATAAGATCTGCATCTTCATCACTCTTACTACATTCCTTTAATTTATGCTTAATCTGTATGATGTGTACATTTTATGATAGAATAACTACGCTGAATGATTCTCAAATCCTATATTATGTCTCTCTTATGTTGTGAAGGGTGAAAATGGAAGCACCTACCTCAAGTATTTCAGATTGTGATGATGACAAAAGGGATTTGGAGCTGTTGCTTGATGCCTTTGGTTCAATGGTATCTCTTGAGGACATAGCCTCTGCTTATTGTCAAGCAGGCCGCAACATATGTGATGCTGGTGAAATACTATGTAATCTCCAGGGAAGCACATCTAGTGCTTCTACTTATGCCTCCAAGGACGAATCGAAGGGTCTAAGTTTGTCTTCGGAATTGTCAGACGACATTTTGTTAGATGAGTCAAATTTCCCAGAAAGAAATTCCATTGCATCAAAGCAGAAAAAATGTTCAGTATCAATGGGTACGGTTTCAAGTGTGATTGGAAAAGAGTATGCTCAGTCCAGGCCCTCAAGAAGTGTATCTTGTAGAGTGAACAAAGCATTGAAATTGAATTCAGGGGAATTGCCCATCTCTGAGATTTGTGAAGAGAAAGTTCCACCAAATATGACAACGATCAAAAGTATGCACAAGGATATTGAGGAGTTTCTGTTTAAAATGCTTGGAGATGGCTTTCAACTTGACATGAAGATTATCCAAGAAGTTCTTGGTATGCATCATTAGTTCATGTGCCATCTAAATTTACTAGTGATTTTATTTAAGACTTTACCTGTCCACTAGTATATTTTGGGCTATAAAAATAATGTCATCATTGTCCATGTCAAGTTTATTGTTTAGGTTGATATTATATGTGACATGGTGTTTATTGAACTTGCAGGCCGTTGTGGGTATGATGTAGAAAGGGTAAGTTCACCTTCACTTTAATGTCTAATTTGTTTTGTTCAAAACTTATGTTTTCTAATGAAGTTTTTGCACTCTCTCATATGTTTTCTAGGCTTTGAGAAATTATATTTGATTGTTAATTGAGTTTTGCATGCGAAAATCAATGTGTAAGAGATTTTCTAAATTAAGCTGTCTTTCAATTATACTGTGTTGGAAGTATTTTGGTTTTCGTATAAAGTTGTGCATTTCTTATGTTTCTAAACTTCATACATTATTAATTTGGTTCATATGCTTTCTTGTTATGATGCCTTCTGTTTTGAGTTCCATATATGTATAGAATCTTGTATATACAAGCGGAAAAGGGCATTACTTAATGTTGTTTTCTCTTACTTGAGGGTGGGTGCTGAGAGAGGGTGAGATTGGTTATAAAGCTAACCTTTGCGTCATTCTCTCAAGGTGGCTGCTTTTTAGCATTACTTCCCCCCCCACCATGTTTTGAAGTTATTTAGTCTACACTTATGGGATGTAATTCTTTATTTTGGATATGTGTAAAGTTCCCTACCCAACCTTGAATGAATAATACTTCCTAATTATTGGACATGAATTTGGGGAAAGAATTTGTGCCCATTCTATTTTGTATGCTTATTTTCTCCAATTGACTAGAAGTTTGATACTTGAAAAAAAGAGAAGAGGAAAAAACAGATTATAAGTTTGTTTTATCTTTCACATTTTTAAAATATATCAATACCCACCACACAGACACACACACATATATACATGCATATGAATGAAAGTTTGAGTATCTTAACATTTGTTAATTGAAAGGAGCTCATTCTGGCATAGAACTATAGTACACATAGTAAATCATCTATATTATGCTGGAAGGTGTGAATATCATTATGAGAGATATATTGGCATCCTGGTCAAATTTTCCCTATCTTTAAATTGTTGGGAATATACACTTTAAATTGTTGGGAATATACACTCCAAAATAAATTTCCTTTGGTAGATTTAATACACTAAATATGTATTAGTATTAATCTGTGTGATACGACCGTTTTTTAAACCCAATTACCTTTTGATATCATGTAGATGCTTTCTGGAGTTGGCAATGTTTATTTTAAATGTTTATCTCACAGGTTAGCCTCTAGATATTAAAAAAAAAAAAAAAAAGAAAAAAAGATCACTTTTTTCTTTTTCCTACCTAGTTCATGCATAGACAATTTAATGACATTCTTTTTTGACTCACATGTTTGAATCATGGATCAGCCTCTGAATATTGTTTGCTTTGATTTTCATCCTCAACAGTGGACATGTTTCGTCAATTTTTCATTTATGTTCCCAACTGATGGTTGTTTTTTACTTTCTGGTGTTTTTGCAGAGCATGGAGAAACTTCTGGATCTTTCAGCATCCACTTTGGAGAAGAGTGATGATGTTTCTGGCATTCTTGTTCAAAAAGTAAAACTTTTTGAGTCTTGAATAATACAAGTACCAATAACTTTAATTTATGTTCTTTTTGTAGATTGGAACGAATTTGAACAACATAATAGTGATGAGATGATTCTTGTCATTATCTTAGTCCACTGCATAACTCATGTCTTTCTTCATTTCTACGGTGAAGCAACTCAATTTGAGGCCAAAAATGTAGAGATCAATTTGGGGAACTGATCATTTATAGTTGTTATTTATCTGATAGCCATGCTGATTGCTGATCATTTATAGTAGTTTATATGTTGCTATGAACAATTTTAAGTAATGGATAGTAACTAATAACTTAAGCTTTTGGGATTATGTGAAACGACAATCATGTTCACTTGATTCACATGACACCCCCTTGGCATCCTTTTTATATAATTTTTATGTATTAAAATAAATCTTATGTGAGCTATTTTAACAGCCTATGGAGAAATATTCAGACACAGAATCTATTTCATGCCAAGAAAAACTACAATGCATAGATTCTGCCAGAAGGTATGTTATTTTCTTTTGTGGTGGACTACTAACTCAATTTTGGGATCTATGTTTAGCCAAAAGAAAAAAGGTTTCATGAAGATCAATTATTTGAAATTCAGGCATATTTTCATGCTGTGTAAAATGTCAGTTTTAATTATTTTTAAACTTTGCAGTGGTAAAGCTAAATTTATTTCTAGAAATGAATCAACCAAAAGCCACAAAGACAGATATGATCTCCAGAGGGAGGTGTTAGAAGCATTGTTTAATGTTCCTGAAAGATTTGAAGAAGAACCAAAAAGAAATTTCCCAGTGAAAGACGATAGAAGATCAAGGGGATTTGGTCGTGTTGTAGTTGAACCTTTAAGAGACACTACAACTGAACATAAGACTGCCATTGCAAAACTACTTGTTAATGAGGAGGATGGTAAGCACTTTTATATGTATCTTACTATAATATGAGAGGATATGTTTATCCTTGTAGTTATTTCTGTAGAGGTTTCAGAAAATACAGAGGACATTATCATTATCTGCTTATTCTTTGTCTTTTCTAAATGTCTTGTTGGAATCTTGATATATCTAGTTGAAAGCATCAAGTTTCATTCACATGTTGCTTGACCAAATTTGTGAAACAATTTCCAAAGTCTTCTTTTTCTTTTTGTAAACATATAAAAAAAAACTTATAGCAATCAAAATTTGAAAGACAAGTCTTGCAGGGTTTATTCTATGGTAAGGTCAAAATTTGTAAGGAAAGCTTTATGAAAACCACAACCAGGTTTTATAATTGGATTCCGAGTTATTTTGTTTAAACTGGTAATATGTTTCACGTGTGTTAAGCAATGGATATGCATGTCCCCCAAGTGTCTAAATCATGTTTGGGTCTAAAAAATTTAAAAGATAATAGGACAAGTTTGGACGTATGTTCAACACGTGTTGGGGAAGTGTCCAACAAGTGTCGATGTCTGACACGCCGCCTTCTTAGGAGTGTCCTTGGTTCTTAGACCATGAGTATATCAGGTGCATCACCCCTTCAAAAACTAGCCCCTTTTGGATGTGGTGTTTGTATTTTTCTTCATTGGCTCTACCATGTGATTCCCCCCCTCCCCATGTGCATAATTTAGTGAAAAACTAACTTAGTAATTTGATCAAGTCATGTCAGATGGACCCCTTGTTGCTGAATGATCACATTTGCCTGCATTGCTAATATTCGAGACATGACTCTGGAAGAGACTGTTTCTGTTTAAGCTTTGCATCCTTAATAGGGTTGTAAATTAAGTTTGTGTTATGTTTTATCTTCCCCTGCTCTTTGATTCCTTAACCTCTAATATTAATGCTTTCTGGTGTGTACATGCACTTTTGTGAATAGAAAATGAAGAGGATGAGGATAGCTATCAGGTCCTACGCAAAGCTGTAAAGGAGCATTGGATAACAATGAAAGAATACTATAAAGCTGTAAGTCCTTAATTCAGAATTCTTTGGCATGAGCATATTGTAATATTCAATACTTTCAGTATAGTTATCCACTTCCCCTCTATATATTGGTCCTTTTTATAAAAATCATCCTTGGGCATTACATGATTAGAAATTTGACAGTTTTGAGTTCCTTGGCAGTCTGTCGATGCATTTGCTAAGGGGGATCCTGTGCGTGCATACAAACTTCTAGAAGAGGTATGTAGTTTCTATGCATTTTTTAGTGGTGGTATTAATGCCCAGAGTTGGAGCAATTTCACAATTTTTTTTTCTTGTCTTTTTTCCTGTTTATCAGTCGATCTTTATTAGCGTGGCCACCGTTTAGCTGAAATTTGGTATCCATCCCTTGGTGGGCTTGAGTTACTATTCTGAAGATACTCATTTTCTTCTCCTGGGTTACTGACTTCTGGAGTAGATGTCAAGTGGATTATTTGGTGAGCATGAGATATCATATAAATTATACAGAGGAGTTTGGCACCTTTTACAGTTGTCATTGGCTATATAACAATTATGTGACTATTTAAGCCCTCTCTTTTTGCTATGTACTGGCAGTCTGGCAGTTGTATTTGCATAGCCTTTAGATTTATTAATATTCTCATGTTAAAGAGCTCTTGTCTTTTTCATTGACGACCCTGTCATGGCATTTGGTGCATCATTTTTTGCGGCATGGCACAATATTTGGCTGAATTGAATTCTTGTAGTATAGAACTAGGGGAATTGGAATAGTGCTGCTTGATGTTGTAGAATGGAAAGGGTTGGTATTTGCTTGATGTAGAATGTGATGGGTCCCTGGAATTGCATAAAATAGTTGATAAAAATTTCTGGAAACACTCAATTAGGGTTAATGATTGGGTTCAGAGGACAAAGATAGAGAAAGAGTATAGGAATTCCTGAATTTTCTCTGAAGGCAAGGTTACTTCAAGCATCACATGAACCTTAAAAAATTCCTCATTATATCACATAACCAACCCTATTGAATTAAAAGGTTGTATGCATTTTTTTTATGGTTCTTGTGTTATCTCCCAACTCTACTAGGAATTAAATGTCAACACTTGAAACTAGGAAACTTGCACTAATTAGAATATCCCGAGGCCAAATATATATTGAATATACAACCCAAAAAACATGACCTTTACTATGGACCCGTACTATGATTTTTGTGCAATTAAACTACAGTTTACAGAACTACCTCTAATTTATGAATGTAATGAAACATAGGTACTGGTACACCTGCATCAAGTAACTTATAAATATTAGCAAGACTTAAATTAAGATACAATTAGATGAGGCCGTAGGTGCTGCCTATGCAAAATTCCAAGTTTCCCTCTCATATGCATGATCTATATATTCCGTTTATTTTTACAAAAGTTAATCAGTGTGTTTGGTTTTAGTTTTCTAGAAATTGAGTTTTTTGTATTTTGTTTTTCGTGTTTTTTTTTTTTAGTGAATATTTTTTAAATTTTAAGCAATTTTTTTACTTTTTTAGATGCACCTTACGTAGATGTATCTAAATAGTAAAATATTTGTGAAAAAATATTTAAAAAAATTAATAAATATACAAAAATATGAATAATATACTGAATTTTTGTTTTTTTTTTTTTTGTATTTTTGGTATTTAATGACTTTTAAAAGATATTTTTTTCACAAATATTATATTTTTTAAGTGTATTTATGTTAGGTGTGTCTAAAAATTAAAAAAATTACTTAAAATATTAAAAAAATACGAAAAACAAAAAAGTAGAATTTATTAAAAAGTGTTTTCTAAAAACCAAAACCAAGCAAAGTGAATAGTTTTTACCTGACATCAGGTGTCAGTAGACAATACTAGAGAATTATGCATTTTCATGCCCCTAATTGTCCGTTCATAAATTCCAATGTAAATTGAAATCATTTGGTAATATACTATCCTTGAATTAAATAACTTGAAATCATACAGCTACCTTTCTTTCAAAGCGGGTTAATAAATAGTGGCATAGTGCATGTAGCCTCCCAAGTATTACTCGAAAAAAATGCTATGATAGCATTATAAATTCAAAGTGACTTATTTTAGCAATGCCCAACATGCTTTAGTTTTGTAAACCATTGACATGCTTTTTGTGCTGGATGTACTAGTTATCACTTGATTATATCTTCTTTCCGTGTATGTGTGTGGGGTGTCCAGGGAAATTTTTTCAAGGAGAAGGCCCGAGAGGCAGATGAAAAATCTGCACAGAAGTTTCTTGAAACTAGGTAAATGTAAAATGTAATTTTTTTTCCTCATTCTACTGTATTCATGGTTAATGATTGAGCTATATCTTCTGTGTATTGATTCATAAAATGACTAAACACTAAATTTCAGGAGGGAGGATGAAATGTCACTTGACCTGCATGAATATGATCCAAAAGAAGCGATACGTCTTTTGAGGGTTCATTTAACCTCTCTTTCTGGGATCTCATGTAGGTCATTTCCCTTCCACCCCCCCAATTTATATATTCTTCAACTGTGAAATAAAAATTATAAAATGACATGGTTTTACATGTTGCTTTTCATCAGCTATTCGATATCTTAAAGTCATAGTTGGTGCCGACACCGAGGATTCCAAAGAAGCGGCTCGAAAACGACTGGTATGTTTGGTTAAAAGGTTGATTAAAACTGAGATCCTTCTATTCCTTTTTTGATCCCATAGGGAATATTGTGTTCATTCTCTTGAACTGCAATCATTAATTGTTAAAAATTAGCTTGGTTCCAAAAAATAATGCAGCCTTGTTGAGCCTTCTAGATACTGCATAGCAGTGACTGTCTTACTTTTTGCAATGTCAAACACTCACACAGATATTAAGAAAATTCCTTTCCTTCTCTAACATGACTGTCTTGAAAAACAGGAATGAAAATGATCTAAAATTTAGAAGAATTTTGGAACAAAAAAAATATTTTTAGGCTATGTTTGGATCATAGATTTATGTAGGGATTTAGAAAGGGAAATGAAAAGGCGAGGGAAATGATTTATCAAATATTTTAAGCCAATGCCCTTCTCCCCGCTTATCTTCCCCATGTATGAAAAAACTGCATACAAATGAGTAAAGGGAATGAAACGTCACTTGCGAGAATTGGAAACGCATCATCCTAATAATTGCAACGGAGACGGGTATTATAAATTAAAATAATTTGAAACATTTTTTGATTCTCTTTGCTAAATTGTTGAATAGGAGTGTAATTATCTTGATTTTTTACTGGTTTACTACCCATGTCACTGAGGTCCTGGTGTTTCACCATGTGTTTACTGAATTAATTGGCACAAGGATCTTCTGAAGCATCAAACTCATGGCATGTTTAACATGAGTACCTTTCTCTCTCTCTCTCTCTCTGTGGCTTTGCTGTTGCATGGGTACATCACTAATTCATATATCTATGTGATAAAGATTCCTCTGTCCATGCTAAAAAAAAAACTACTAGTAACACTTCCAATATTAGGAGAATTTGACTCTTCTGATACCCACGCATTAACTTCACTCAATTTGAGTTTTGTGTAATACAGATTCATGTTACATATATGTAACCATCCCCACTTGTTCAGCCAGGGACAATGAAAATTTGATTGTTCTGAAATTTTTGGTTGCAGATTTTGAAGCTTTTGGAAAAAGAATCCATCAAATGGAGCGAGGAAGCGAATGGTCGAGCAATTGTGATCCGCCTAGATGAGATTAACCCAAAACATTTAAGTTTTGCCAAAAATCAGTAACAAGCTATCAATGGAATAACTCAAAGTGGTAAATACGTTTTAGAATTTTTGCTATCCCTCGGCAACTTGGATTTTGGGGTGAGATGACCCTATCAAACATTGAGGTTAAAATGTTAGTAGCTGCAGAGTATTTTCCCATACCCCAAAATGATTGAACAAAATGTATGAAAGGAACAAAATTTGCAGTTGTCTTCAGTGATTGAAACGTTGTTACAACTTGGTTGTGTTAGTATAATTAATTTTCTTCATACATTTCTTCTTATTTTATGTAGTTTTTTTTTTTTTAAAAATCCTGTTATTTGCTTGGTAATCGACAAATTTGTTCAGAGCTCTGATTCACCCATGTTGGATTGAATTCTATTTTACTGGAGGTTGAAGTTGTCTTTGACAGTACAATTCCAAATAGTCCAGGATTGAAAAATTGGAATTTGTGCTCTGTGTGAAAACAATTTTTTGGTGTTTTATAAAATAGTTGTTTCTGAAATTTTTTTTTTTTTGTTAATTTGCTAACAAGGTTTTCCCAGACAGTACAAGTGCCTCCAAAACTTCTTGGAAAAGCCATCATGCTAAGCCCTGGTTTGGCTATCATTTTGGAGCTAAAAAAGCACAAGATGACAAAATAGGCTAAACAAGTTAATAAGACAAAATATCACATTTAATCTATAATCATTATAATTTTTTCTCCTACAAAAGTCAAAAAAAACCAAACCAAACGAGACTAAAAAAACTAGGCTAAAAAAGTCACAATACAAAAAAATTAGCTATGTCAACCAATGCCAAACAAAGCTTATAATTATTTTTACATATTCACAACCACTATAAGATTTGATCAATGGGTCACCAAAATTTCAAAATTTTCAAGCATAAAATAAAAACTTAGAAACTGCAGAACTAGAAAACATTTTAATGTTTCTAGCATAATATAAACAAAAGGGCAATCAAACAATTCAAAAAGGGGTAAGAATTAAACAAGTAAACTACTTGTGATCAAGAAATTGAAGATGAGCTCAGACCACAGCAACAAATAATATTACAATATCTCTAAGTTCCATATAGCTAATATAAGAAAGGAAAAACAAGCAATGGCAGGTTTCGAGGGTTATTGTGTAAGTCTTCGCATCTCATTTTCGTCATTGAGAGTCTCAATGAGAAGGGGAGGGGCATATTGAGCGGTCCCTTGGTGCTCGTCTGAATCTTGGCAGAATGAGAGAATGATGGTTTCAATTGACATCTCCACAACAGCAAAGAAAAGGGTAGCGACAACATAACCCAAGCCCCAGCATACCTGCATTAACACCGATGTGATTCCATCACAAGTCTTAATTCTCATAGAACGGTAGAAGATTATATTTGTGCAATGGTAGAAAAACATAAACATTTTCCTTACAAATATATTCATGCATTTTTATTCAAGGTGTCTGAATGTAATCTCAACTAAAAAAAGGTTAAAACCAAAGGCAAGCACACTTTTATGCAGAATGTGCAATATTTTTAAGTGTTCTAAAAGGCACAAGTTAACAAAATCCTTAAATATTTGGTTGACATCAAGACTACTAAAAGCACGTTTATCTCACGGGTTGTAGACTTGGGTTTAAAGGTAGCTCATGTCTTCACATGAGAAACTGTTTCCAAAACAAATTTCTACAGCATTTTTGATTCTCTTTGAAAATAAAATCCTGTTTGATGACTTTTTTCTTCACTTGGAAGTTACTGGCTAGAAATCGATCTAAAAGACTATTAAGTTTGAAAATACCTGTGAACACTCGTATATAGCATAATCTCATAACATTGCATGGTCTTTAGACATGGATTAGAATCATCTAGAACTCATCTAAATAACATCAAGAAAGTGGTATATGAAAACTACATTATAACACTTACTTGGTTTCAACAATTGCTCAGTTATGTAATATTTTTTCAACTCAAATTTATAGCATAAATCTAAGCATCACATCAAGAGACTCTTTTTGCTCCTCTATAATGCTTATTTTCTTTAACTTTTATCTCCACATCCGCTTTCATAACCTTCTTAATTTGGTTTTAAACAGTTAGTCATCAATCCACCATTTGTATGTTTTTTTCTAGTTACTTTTTTCGGTTCATCATGGTGTAGAAACTAAATGATAAGAGGCATACCAGTACAGGAAATAAGGGCGAGGAGATCTTGTTGTGGGCAGAATTGTATTTGTGAGTATTCAACATAAGGAAAGCAAAAACTGCACTTGAAAGGCTCACACACAACTTCCCAAGAAAGAGAATAACATCACCAATCACATTCACTTTCCCTATCCGAAGGATGTTACTGATGATCAGTTCTGTTGCGATCTCAGAAGCCTTAAAGAAGCTTTTGCCCGTTATAGCAATCTGAAAGAGTCAAAAGCATGCATTTAAGAATGAAGCAGATATACAACTGAGAAGCACGGACCAGAAAATATCCGAAATGTATACAACATGTCATACAAGTACATGTATTGGCATTAAAGGTTTCATTCCAGATGTAATACAGGTTACAAAGGCACAATATTGAAGGGAGGAAAAAGGAAAAAATAAAAAATAAATAAAATAAAATAAAAAATTTGCCAAATGCTTAACTTTCATTTTTCTTCGACTCTCACAGGTAACTGGCTCAGGTGGTCAGGTTTCCTCATTACCATGGTTTAAACTGTCTCATGAAACATGCATTGTTTGGCCAAAAAGAAATGAAAATTGCCTTCCTTGGGGCTGTGTTTGGATCACAAATTTGGGTATAGATTTGGAAAGGGAAAGAAAAAGGAGAAAAAATTTAGCTTATATTTCATTCACATTTCTTTCACTTTTCCTTTTCAAATCACTACCAAAATTCATGATCCAAACACAGCCTAAAAATTTCCAAAGTAAGGGAAACAACAATGGCATTCACAGTCCACTGAGTGCAAACTAATGATATCATAGTAATATATAATATCCTTTTAATCTTTTTAGGAATATGTATTTCCATATGAGAATCAATTCCTCATATTAGCCTCCACAGGAAAGTGCACTTTCCTCTCCTATGCCAGCTAGACTATTTATCCCCGTGGAAGAACAATCATCGTGTGGCATATGAACTCATAGAAATACATAACAAAAACATGATGAAAAGAAAAGACGCATACTCCTGGAAAATGATTTCACTAAATTACCATAATATAGGCATTGCGGTTCACGGATTTGACAGTCCACTCAATACTCCGTCGGAAAAACTGAGAAGAATGAAATGCCACTCTTCCAATCCGGCTTTCAGGTACTGTATTAGCAACTTTTAATCTGCGACGAATTGCCTCAAGTACAAATCGGATGGACTCAACAAATGATACGATTAGAGAGCCAAGAGCTACAGACCCAAGGCTGTAACGCATAAGCCGCTTCATCGAGGAGACAACTGGAAGAAATGGAATCTCTGGCTGCACTTACAAAAACTACTACCAATCAGAGGAAAGAGATGGACAAGGAGTTCTATATTTATTATATACAAGAACATTTCATTCAAAGATAACAAAAATTTACAACATAACATGAATTTCTAATGTTTGGGAGGATAAATTAATAGGTACAAATCGGTATTGTTTTCTTTTGTAATTTGATCCTAACTAAGTTATTAGGTTCAAACTTGCAATGTGTTTCATGTGTCTAAATGATGAACACATCTATCCCCCAAGTGTTCAAAGCGTTTGCAGGTTCAAAAAATAAAATTAAAAAAACAATAGGACACATTTGAACGTGTTCAACACGTGTTGCAAAGTGTTTGACGAGTGTTGATGTCCAACAGACACACTACCTTCTTAGAAGTGTATGTGCCTCTTAGCACATAAGGGTAAAATTAATACCCAAGGGAGTATTTTTAATAGAAACTTCTAAGTAATAGTATTTTCCAATTTTCTAATTTTAAAGCAGTAGGGCAGATTTACTTAGTGCCAAAATTAACAACAAATTCTGCAAATGTCACTGTTGTGGATAACTGTGTAGCCATGTCAATAATATTGACATGTCACAACAACCCCACCTCCCACCCACCCCACAAAGAGAAAAAAAATTCTATTCGCAAGTAATTCCTCAATGACTCTAAGGTATGATATAGGATACATGACTACAGTTTGCTGATTCATACACATGATTGAATAGCTTACCGATGTTTCACCACGAGCCCAATAATAGGAAGCAACTGAACCCGCAATCACCGTTGAAGAACATGCTATAAAAAACTGTGTAGCCCAATAACACCCAAACAGGTGGAAAAGGATTGCAGCACCGATATGAGAAGTATAATGAATTCTATAACCACAGCAACGATCACAGCTCACCCGTTTCAACCCAAGCTCATAGGCACAGCAGTTGGAGTTGCAGTCATTCTCCAGAACTTGACCAGAACTGAAAAGATTGAGAGCAGCCGAAAACCAGAACATGTAAAAAATTGCAAGGATAGAGTAAGGTATAACTGGAAAGATTATAAGCGCCTGAGCTTCTCCAATGACCTTGGCAGCGACCTGCGTACATATTTGGTAATAATTACATTACAATAAGATAAAATCGTCAACAGAACCCAATCAAATGGCTTGCGTGTAGAGCATAAAACAAAGAAACACACCAAGTTAAAAGGAGGTGTTGATGTTGCCCAAGAGAGCAAAATGCCCTGTCATGGAGTTTAAATTGGATGCTTGAAGTAGAACTGTAGAAGGGAACTTAAGGGTGACTAAAATTCGAAGGATAATCATTCTATTTTAGCCCTGTAAGATCCTTGACCATTCGAAAGACTACAATATTTTCATTACACATTTAGGCATAAAACAGTATTGAAGCTATGAGGAAGAAACACACAAAGTATGTACATTAATTCTACATAATTTCGTACTCCAAAAAATTCACATTAATGTTCACAAATTACCACATTTGCATGGTGGCAGAGTTTAATCCAAAATCAATATTTAAGGTCTTGTAGAAGTTAAATTAATATTGAGGTGTTAGATGCCCCAATGTTGGTATACTTAAATTAGTTCATGACTTCCGAAGTTATCAGCCTTTGACTTATTTATTCAGTTACCTAGGCAAATTAAAATATTGTTTGGTTGTTATCCTATTGTTTATAAAAGACAATACACCATGTTACCTTGAGAACAGATGTTGCCATAAGGATGCGACGGACAATGGCAATAGATGAAAGGATGGAGATAATCATCAAGACTGTCATGAGAACAGCAACAGCTCGAAGATGACTAAGCTCCTGAAAGATGAAAATACTTTTGAGTAAATAACAAAACAATGATAACAGCTTCGAGTTTCAAAGGATTTGGTCATTACTAACCCACCCTTGCAGATGCGTGATAATATGGATCATGATCACCAATGATGGGGGAGATGGCACTGTTTCCAATCCATCCAGCTAAAGCAAAGGGAAATAAAATAAGGTCATCATTATATTCCATCAACAGTAAGTAAATATTTCAGTATAAAACTCGTTTTCATCCGAATACATTGAATAATAATCAAGCAAAGAAATTCAGAGGGACATTAACTGACAGCATATTCGATGACTCAGAAGAATAAAAATGTTGAAGAATCTACCATCCAAAGGGTTTAGTGTGAGATTCAATATTCCAAAACATTTCCAGCAAGTCACAGTAATCAACCATTAAATTGAGATTTAATGCCCCACAGCATGTAAGCCATATGTATTACTTCAGTGATTCAATAATCAATGATATTCTTAAGGACTTCGAGCATCCACATCAGTCTCAACAAATTTTGAGTCAAATTATAACTAAAAAGTTACGTTTCTATTTTAGCTAGGATTTTTTGTATGTACACACTACATCAAACTCTCTATTCTAAAATTAAATGTTATAAAATATTCATTTTGTATTGTTAAAAAGCAGCCAAGGTAGTATAGGAAAAGTTGCTAATTTTGTATTGCTAGTATATAGTTTCATATTCCTAGAAAAAACAAAAAATTGTGCCAGCAGCGGTTGTCCGGCCGGACATCCAAGGATTTGTATTGTTATTTATATATATGCAGTTTCATATTCCTTCAAAAAAAAATAATAAATAAAATTGTGCAGCAGTCGGTCATCCGGCAAGATGTCCGGTCACTCTTGAGAATAAATAATAAAATATTATATAATCTGTGCCCAGTGTATCACTACATGTAGCAATGTACTGTAGCAAAGTTAACCAAAAGCTAGTTTAGAAATAATTTGATGGAGCAAGAATTTTATGATTTGTTAGCTATATTTAACCAAAAACTACATTTGTTGAGTCTGATACGGATGCTCTTAGATCACAAAATTGCAATTTAAAATTACTTTTACATAAGGCTTTTATAGCTATAATATGTTAGTTTGCCAACTTATATGATCCTACATAAATATAACACAAAATTTTAAAGAGTATGGTCGGTGATTGATTAAATAACTTTTTTTTTATATATATATTTATTTATAAGTAACTGACAGACTATGTTAATAATTCATTTGATATTTTCTGCACAGAAATATTTCAACTTCAATAGGCTAGCTATAGGAGAATTGAAACAAACATTTGCTTTTCTAAACAGCCTCTAATGAAAAATAGCAGTAGGAAATGTCTAACCTTTTAAATAGTATAACATTGTAAATGATATTATCAGGACATTAAAGAGGATGACTGTTATCCATGGCATCCCAGCAACAAAATGTCTAATCATCAAAAGCCACATCACCGATAGAAATAATGGCAAGATTCCTCCACAAACAATTAATACACCCCAAGACTTGCCAACATCAGCAACATATCTCTGCAAAACAACAGGCAAGGCTTAATCAAGATATACTCCACAAAGACAAATTCATCTAAGCCTTTATAGCATACGGAACAAGAAATTCTGATCTGATCATGAAGACTTTGTTTTGCACACCTATCAAACAAGAGAACTAAATAATCATTGGGTCAAGATTCAGGGTAGCCACCTATAACGTCTCATCAACAACTCTAATTGTTGGGATGGTTTACTTAGGTGAGCAGCTAGGACCAGTAAATGCCTAAATGCACATATCTCGAAAACCGTGACTCGCCATCTCTACAAGTCTATGACTAAACAACAGCACCTCATCTAATTTAAATTTTCAAGTTGAGTTTTGAAATCCCCCACAAAAGCATTGATTGTTGCAGAACACAAGTCTGTTCTGCAAGACTGCACCACCAATGCATGGATAAACATCATTTTATAATAAGAACCGAATTGGGGAACCACTCACCCTCAGGGGAAAGGAAACAAAACTTTTCAAGCTTTAAAAGGCTGACAACTACATAAGCTGCTGGCAGAGAGTTTTTCAAGCTTCCCATGTTACATTCATGGAGAACATTCTACCGCATGGAACCAGTCACTCTCTTACCCAAGTACATAAGAAACAGCTTCTGATGTCAACACAAAAATTAGTTGCCTTTCTAAGAGGGACAAACTGAATTGGGATGTGGAGTTTAGATAAATGAAGACGAGACTTCTCTCAAAATTTAACACAGAATGCAGAATTGTGATGAAGACAAGATAATCCTCAAAATTTCTACAAGCATGAACCCAAATAGTCAGGATTAAGATTTAATGTTAAGTATTTAGAGCATCACCGCTGTAAAGGAGAGACACAGACAAAAAGGCTACTCAACCTTTAAGACGGATGATCGTGAATTGATGGACTTGTGAATGGATTTGTCTATGAGCATGTCTTCAACAATGCTAACTCCACCCATCTGCTGCCAATGACGCAAAGATACATTTGATACACGGGCAATAAATTGGCAGTTCCAGTAAACTGAAAAAAGAAAAATGGTAAGTAACGCACTCATAAATTTAAGTCATAGATTTAACAAAAGTTCAACCCACATTTTTTTTTTTGGATAAGTAATAAAAGTTCAACCCAGATAATATAGGTTTTATCCCAACAACAGAGATTGAATTGAGAAACCTCAACTCCAAATAACTTACCATTTACGCTTGGTAATATAACGGGGTAACAGGGACCTTGCAGTTGAAGAGAGGTGTTCCTTAAGTCTGGAGTAAGGTCTGCAAAGTAATCATAATTCCTATCGATCCACTCTTTAATCGAGAGATGGATATCTCCCTCTGGATAGTCACACACCCAATTGAGTGAATCTTCCGACGGGATAGGGCAATCCATTAAGCAGATACTCCGGGCATTATCAAGTGTGAATTGGCTGTCCTTTAAACCACTCTGGTAAACCTGGTTGGGGTTCAACCAATATCTGAGTTCCAATTCGTGAAGGTCAGGAGTCGCATGCCTATCACCGCACACATTTCCTTTATAGTCCAGCCCATAGTTAAGCCTAATGATTCATGGCACAACATATCACAATCACGAAATAAAGGAAAGTAAAGAAGGGGGAAAAAAGTCATGTAAGTACATTAAGTAAGAACAAAGAGAATGAATAACCATGCACACAACATAGACTAGTTTTTTTTTCAAATTTATACAAGTTACACTTCAAGGGGCTTATGCCCTTACCAACAAGTGACAACTTGTATTTTACCAAGATGAAAAACATCCCAGTTGAGAACTTTTTCTTCTCATGCACCTTGATTTTACTGGTCCATATCACCAGAATCATGTGAAGCAGAATGTAATTTTTTCATAATCTAAAATTTATATATATATATATATATAAGGGCAAACTTCACTTTAACCCCCTATGGTTTTGGCCATTTGCGGATTACTCTCCTGACGTTCAAATATCACCACATAACCCCCCTGTGGTTGATGGACTAAAACGCACACTAACTTCTATTAACAGAAGTTGTAAATTGACAATAATACCCTCATCTTCATTTTGTTCTTCTCTCTCTCTCCATCTTCATCTTCTTCTTTTCTCTCTCTCTCCAACTTCATCAGCAACCTGTGACTCTAATCTTCTATTATTATTTTTTTTTGGTCAATAATAATCATCTCTGAATCAACGTAGAAAACATGAAAGAAATCAAACGCTAATCAAAATAATGTTAATTTGAAAGAAATCATGAAAAAAACCCCAAATCAAAAGCCTAATTTTTCACTCAAAAATAGATTTGAATAAATCAAGAATAGAGGGCTCTGAAGTGGCGGGGGTTATAGATGAATTTCTCCACTTCGTTGGAGATCGACATGCCATACGGGAGGAATTTCAGTTCTCTTCAATCAAAAAAAAAATAAAAAAATTAAAATGGGTTTGGATTTGTATATGTATACAAATATATATATATTTATATATATATATATATATATGTGTATGTGTATATGTATATGTATGGGAGGAATTTTAGTTCTCTTCAATCAAAAAATAAATAAAAGTTAAAATAGATTTGGATTTGTATATGTATATGTATATGTATGGGAGGAATTTCAGTTCTCTTCAATCAAAAATAAAATAAAATAAGTTTGGATTTGTATATGTATACAAATATATATATATATATATATATGTATATGTATCGGGAGGAATTTGAGTTTATCTCCAATCAAAAAAAAAAAAAAAAATTAAAATGGTTTGGGATTTGTATATCTATATATATATATATATATATGTATATGTATGAGAGGAATTTCAGTTCTCTTCAAAGACGTGTTTGTTCAATTGATCAGAGATGTGTTCGTTCATCCTGTGAGAGAGGATGGCTATGGGTGGTGGTTTGAGGGGAGGAGAAAGAGAGAGAGAGAGAGAGAGAGAAGAGATGAAGAAAAAGAAGGTTGAAAATAGAATGACATCTTTTGTAAATTTGAAGAGGCAGAAAGGGTATTTTCGTCATAAAAACGGACTCTCTCTATAGGGGCGCGTGACTTTCACATTCTGTTATCTTAGACAGAAAAGCTAATTGGCGTTTTAGTCCATCAACCACGGGAGGGTTATGTGGTGATTTCCAAATGTCAAGGGATAAACTGCACCCAACCCAAACCACAGGGGGGCAAAGTGAAGTTTGCCCTATATATAATTTACAGAATTTTCAAACATGCTTATGGATGGAAAATTAGGTCATGTTTAAAGAAAAATAAGGAAATAACACCATGATGGAATAAAGCCAAGGAGAGGAACCACCACCCAATGGTGCTTTTACGAAAGTATGGTCACTGGTGGTGGCTAATACCTACGGCGGGGACAACATAAGTCAGCAAATATGTGTAAGCCCAGTCAAACATGACTGTTCAAATGGTGTTGGTCCTCCCTGGTAAGGTCTAATTGTTTATCTGCAAGTCTTTAGACACAATACATTGTCTCACTCTCAAAGGTGCCCCTTGAGTTGATTTGCTTTTGGTTTAATATGGTATCGATAGCAATAGTTATTTTTCTAGTTTGTCAGTCCCCAATTATAAGTTCTCGTTGATGGCGACCTCTGATCAAATCTTATTGAAATCCCATGATCCAACACCAATAAGATTTTTTGTTTATTATTTAGAAAAAAAAAAAAAGAGAGTCAAAGGGCTACTTCTATTTCCTAGTATAGGACCATTCATCTTACTTTGACATTCCACAATCCTGAACACTAGCATTTTACCCCATTAAGAATAATTATAGTTAATTCATTCAATAGCACAATTCCAGTTACAACCTTCCCATGCCCTTGATGAAGGAACAGAAAACAATGAGATCAGGAACTTGTTTCAAGTCAGCCTGTTAAAATTACTCAAGACTCTGTCTCCAAGATCCTAGTAGTGGAAACTTACAAATCAACAACAGGCTATACAGCAAATAAAATGAACAAACCTAATGAGCAGTTAATCTGAGACCTGCAGGCATAATTTGCAAGAAAACTAGGCACTTCAAAGACTGATGATTTGGAAGTGTCCTATATCCCAAAAGCAGAACACTTGGAAGATGCCAATCAACAGCTCACTCACAAACTCCATAAGAAAAACAAAAAACAACCCAAATTTTGGAAGCATTATGTACAGACATAAACACAAGATTTTGGCAGATACTAACCATCTGCGACTTTTAACAGTCCTAAAACATGGAATCATCTACCATTATTTAACAGTTCTCTTTTTTTCTTTTTTTTTACAGAATCACATGACAAGAAAAACCAATCAATAATATAACATTGGGAATATGAGTGAATCAGAAGTTGTTCTGACCAAAGCAAAAAGGAACAGATTTGAGAAACAGTGACAAAGTAAAAAGACCCAATTGGAGTAAGAAAAAGGCAAAAAAAGTACACCTCAATGGGTTTCCCTGGTTGAATCCAAAGCTGGAGTTAACAATCATTCCGACCCAGAAGAGAATGAAGATGATAAGGAACGCCACATCTCTGCATTTTCTGTTGTGGCTTATGATTCCTCTACCCATTTGGGTATTTCCATCGCTTGAAGGGTACCTTCCTATGACTGCCCCCAAAGGACCTCTCATGTTTGACTAGACAGAGAAACAGAGAATTTAGAGAGAGAAAGATGTGAGTGAGAGAGTAGAGTAGAAAAGAAAACAAGAGGGGTGTGTGTGATTGTGAAGCAGTGAAAGGGGTTTTAGGGAATATTTTGGCAAGTTATATGTATATATATATATACACACTATAGATGTAGATATTGATATTCTTTTGCAAAGACAAAGATAGTATTGATTATATTGATTATATAATATTATAGATTTAGAAGGCCAGATGGCTTAGCTCGTATTCTGAGTTGGCTCGGCTCATACACATTCCCTAGGTTGTTTAATTATTAAAATTTATAAGATTTGATTTGATTTTTTTTTTTTAATACAAAAAAGACACCTTGAATTGTAATTGTTTTTTAAAAATTTCTTCTCAAAAAATTGAAAGAAAATGAAAATGAAAAGGCAAATGTCAAATAAATAAAAAATAATTGAAAATATTTTACTGATATCTAAAAAAAACTTGCTAAATACAAAAAAAAATATTTTATTAAAATTTCTTCACAATTTTTTTACATTTTAAGTATATTTAGATTAGGTGAATCAAAAAAATAAATTAAAATATTAAAAAAATTATTACAAATAAAAATAATTCAAAAATAAGTTTTGAGTTTGACTTTCAAAACCAAACAAAGCAATTGTGTTTGGTTTCATTATTCCTACTAACAAAGCGCAAGAATTATTTTATGTTATGTACTAATTTTAGGGTTTTTTTGGGAAAATTTAGTCAAAATTTCTTAGTTGGACCCTTATTATGTAAAAATGACAATCCAATTTATTTTACTTCATAAACTCCCTATGGAAGAGGCATATAACTGAGTAATGACAAAATATTTATATATGTTTTCTTGCACAATATTGCCCATGCATATATATATATATATATATATATCTCACGAAACTCTTTTGACAAGGAACACTTTTATTTTATTTTATGCAAGTTTAAAATAAAGTTTAAAAATCTTATGTATGTGTATTTTTTATTAGTTCATCTAATATGTACTCTATTTTTTGTAACAGTAAAATATTACTATAAATCAGAATAATATGTTACTGTCAAATAGAACATGTTACTATTACGTCAATTTCAACAATATTTTTTTATTTTTTATTTTTTAATAATTTCACAATCAATATGAATCTTATTTGATAGATCTTAATAAGAGAATTTTAAAAATTCTAATTTTATTAAAAAATGACATCTAAATCAAAAGTTATATTATTTTTAAATTTAAAATATTAAATTACTCACTAAGTATATCTTAGTAATAGTGATGTGTTAGATTTTTCAAGAATTTTTATCTATTTATTTATTTTTTATACTTGTCCTTAATGTTTTATTATAAGGAGGTTTTGACAAAATTCACATTTTTTTTTTGTGTCTGTATGATTAAATTTCTCTTAACTATTTAGATCATAAATTTAGATAAGAATTTAAAAAGAAATAAAAAAATGTGAGAAATATTTGAAATGCTAGTTAATATATTTTGTTAAAACAATAGCTAGAATTTGTTTTCTTTCTTTCTTGTTTATTTAAAAAAAAAAAAAGAAATATTATAATTTTGTCAAAATTTAGAAATAAGCTGTACTTCAACAGCATGAGCGACTCACTATCCGGCTTTCAACCGAGCTGTTAAAAAAATATTACCAACATATTAGTCAATTATTCTATTTTTTATTGTTTCAAAAATTAAGAAATAAAATAATATAAATTTATTATTTTATCCTTTTTTAAAATTCATTAATAACATAAAAAGTACAATTATAAGAATTGATATTTCTAAACAAATATACTATAAAAGGATAATTTTAAAAAATTAATATTTTAAAAAAATAATAATTGTAAAAAAAGTTAAATTCCACAAAATGATTATTATTTTGAAACAGATGGTGTAATTTAAATTCTTATGATGGTGATATATTCAGTGTGTTTGGTTTTAATTTTTTGAAAATTAAATTTTTTATTTTTCATGTTTTTTTGTTTTTAGTTAATATTTTTAAAATTTTAAACAATTTTTTTTTACTTTTTTAAATGTATCTTATTTGAGTATCTATAATTTTGCTAAATCTCGAGGGGGTATATGTAATTTGTCCTAAAAAATATTTTAAAAAATCAATAAATATACAAAAATACCCAAAAAAAACGTATTTAGTGAATTTTTAACGATTTTTTTTAACAAATATTATATTTTTTAAGTGTGTATTTATATTAAATGTGTTTAAAAATTAAAAAAAAATTACTTAAAATATTTAAAAAATTCATTAAAAATAAAAATATATAAAAAATAATTTAAATTTAAAAAAAATATATTTTACAAAAATCAAAACTAAACAAGCTGATTATTATTAATTTAAGTCCCGTTATTTTCAGGCAGGTGGCGGCAGTAGTCTTAGGCGACAGGGACAGTAGCAAATGATTGGTCAGATTGCGTACTCTTGTCTCTCTCAACACCGTCGATGCTCCGCGGAGTTTTTTTTTTTTTTTTTTTTTTTTTTTTTTTTTTTTTTTTTTAGTGGGTAAATTACGTTAACAATAATATTGCAGTGTTTTGAAAAGTTAGTAAAAAAATTAATTTTTTAAATTTTTTTGTCTATTTTTTTTTTTGTAAGTAAAAAAATGTGAAAGATGATGTGATTCAAAATGGATAAAAAATTAAAAATTGACTTTTTATTTTCTTCCCAAAAGATTCCATTATTCACAAAAAAATAAAAAAATTCAATAACTTCTCTTAAACTAAAAAAATATTACCCTATCTAAAAATTTTCCAAAACCCAAAAAACATTATTTTCTGATGAAAAAGAATAACAAAAAAAACAAATAATAATAAGAACAGTCTTTGGGTTTTTTTGAGAAATAGGTTAAAAAATAAATTTTTACTTTTTTCAAAAAAACTGTATAAAAAAAAGAAAAAAGTGAAGGTGACTTAAAAAAATAAAAATAAAAAAAAGTCAAAAAGTTACTTTTAATCTCTTTACCAAAATATGGAGTCAAATTAATTTTTTTTTGAAAACCTTAAAAAGCTCCCACAATTATATCCATCATACAATAATGTGATATTATATTTGTCAATTTTAATTACTACACACCAATATAAATAGAGCTCAACTGCCTTCTTATATCACATTTATCTCTTAGAAAAAAAAAATGTATTTTTTAAAATAGACTATCCATTTTTTAGTAACAAATTTGATAAGTTAAATAGATTACAAATATCAAATCAATCTAATTTTTTTGATAAATAATATACACAAAAAATTCTACGAAAATAATTTTTTTAAATTATCAAAATAAATTTCATATTAGACCCCACAAGCACGTACCGCATCCTCCAGTCCTTAATTAGACTAGAGGGAAGTCCAGTCCGAAACATATATATGGGCATACCACAAACACTAGGCTTCGTTTGGAAGATAAATTGACTTTTTAATTTTTTTGATTATTTGAGATTATTTTGACAAATCGACTAAAAATCACTTCTCTTTTTATTTTTAATTTTTAACTTTTTTGAGTCACAAAATTCTATTTTTTTATACATTTTTTCAAAAAAAATCAAAAAACAAATTTTTAATCTACTTTTCAGAACAAGTCTTTAACCTAGGGTTAAAAACCTCATTTAGATTGGACTTTTTAACTTTTTTGACTGAAAAAAATAATAATAATTATTATGATTAGATTTTATCTTATTAATTTTTTAACTTATTTTGTCTTTTTGTGATTATTTTAACCTCCAATTTCATTTTAACCCCATGCCAAAAGAAGGTTAACAGTTCATCACAATAAATAAATAAAGTGCATCTTTATTGAAATGTTAAACTACGAAATGCAGCAATTTTATGTTGAGCACTGCAATTAATGATATTTCATGAATGATTTCCTAGGATGTTTAATCCCCTCATCACATCACAATATCAGATATGTTTGACCCCTCAAGGTTGCATACTCAGAGCTTTCAGAGTATTTGATGACGGCATCAGTAAATCATGACTCTTCAATAAAGCATAGACCCTTCTTAAAGTAATAATCAGTGTATAACAACATACATTCACATAATATTCCTATAGTTCTGCAAAAATGCAACACATAAAAAGTGCCCAAATTAGTAAAACTCTGAAGTTGAATCTGGCAATTCATTCTCAACAAAACAAGTTTAAAAGATTATATCTAGAAGCTTGATTTGAATGGAGATCAGCGATTAGCACCTGCCAATCTCTGTGAGCTATATCCAATCGAAACCTCCTTACATAGCAACATCTGGGTCCAATCTTCTTTGAATTGCAGCCGCAGCCTATTAAATCGCAATATGTCAACAATTCAGCAGATGTTGAATGCAATAGAAGAAAATGATATTTGTCCAATGAATACCACCGGGCTTTTTTATTCTTAAAATATGACGGGTCCTATATGTACATATTACGTTCGTAAGAGGTGAAAAACCTGGTGAAATATATCCAGAGATTTATAGGAGTCCTCACAAAATATTATTGCGTTGAGGCAAAACAACATCCTGACCTCAAAATTGCCGAGCTTGTACTGGTAAGCCATTTCTTCTCTGAGCTGAGCTTGCTCTTTCATTGCTTGTGCCTACAAATTCAAATAAAAAAAAATGCATTAGAGAAGGAATAGTTCTGGCATCATGGGTCAAAGAAAGTTTGTAGAACATTGGAGGACTGATGGTGCAAAACTGACCATTCCACTCTGCATTGAGCGCTTTAATGCGTCCACTTCTTTTTCCTTCTGTCTTTCACGTACTTCCAGCATTTCTTGCCTGTTGCACAATACTTATTAGTGCCATATTTAGGGATATGGTTATCCTCTTAAAAAAATAGGGTGTTCCCCAAATCAGCAGGCTCATATGTTTTAGGATCACAATTGAAAATGCTATGGATCATACACACTAGTTCATCATAATTCACTTTGAAATTTAACAATTCCAATAAAGCTGCTATTGTCAAATATCTCAATCTCAGCAGAGTAGCATTTTAAATGTCAGTGGAGCGAGGTAAGAAAACAGTTTCTCTCTCTCTCTCTGTCTCTCTCTCTCTATATGTGTGTGTGTGCGTGTGTAGTTTATTTGTCAAATGAAGATTATACTGGAAAAGAGAAGAGAAATGCATGTAATGCACATAAAAATTAGATCAGTACAGCATGTACATAATACACATACCGGCGCTGTTCTTCATCATTAAATACTGTCCGTTCTGTCTGGAGGACATTTTTTATTCCTTTTTTCTGTTCTTTTTCCATCTTACGTTTGAAATCAGCATCAAGATTATAATATCTACAACCACAAACATGAAAGAAGTTGTGTTGTTAGAAGCATGAGTGAAAAAACACAAGAAAATGATGATTTTACATTTTAACAACAAAGAAATTACAATAATAGGAGACTACAAAAGATAATGACCACTATTTTATCTTAATTAGATTCTAACAAATAACTTATACCAGAAAGATAACAATTTCCTTAAAAGAACTTAAATCATCAATTTTCCCTCGTTGACAATGCACTTGACTGGATATCAAATGATGCCAACAAAAGAAACACACTTGTAGAAAATGATGACACTGATGCCACGAACACATGTTTGCAGTAGAAAGGCCTGATGTTCTTGTATGAACAAATGATCGGTATAACTTTAAAAACAAAACCTATTTTACATGGACTAAAGTACTAGTGTTAGAAACTTGAGTTAGAGAATGGATGTGTCCAACATGTCAAAGTTGGATACGCACCCAGCAAATTAGTTTAAGTAGTTTATAATAAGCCTCTCATTCAATGTATAAAAACTCTGCTAGTTTGTAAACATATTTTTACACTAAATAAAATTAAAGAAACATTTTTAAAAAATTCAATTAGCCGTGTTATCTTTGGGCATGAAAAATAGATGAATCTGATGCTTAGATATATAACGGCACCCAATACCCCTACCTGAGTATACGTAGCATAATAGGACAAAACGAATGAACAAAAGCATCAAGGTCAAAAGTGAAGAGTGAAGAGCCTTACTTTCTGGATGGAAAGGTAGCTGTATTATGGTCCTCCATGAATCTGCACGATGGATAAACCATTAAATATTGATGGTATTTAATGTAGTATCAAATAGTTGAAATGAAAAGTTACATCATGTGATGGTTTTTATGCAGTGTATGCATGCTAAACATAACCAGATGATTTCAGCCGTTCAGGTACATACTGTTTGAACATCTGCTTTTCTTCCCAGTTAGGCAAAGTTTCCAAATTCACCTGTAAAATATCCAAACACTCTCGATGTGATCGACATCACACTACCTTAAAAATCTGAGAAATGAATAAATCTACTATCATATTAACAACTTAGTGGAAATGTGTTTCTGGTGCCACAGGGCAATAACAGATCGCAAAATGGTCTACCTGTTTTACTTCTGCCAACCAAGCAGTGAACTCGGGTCGTTTGTTCCTACAGAAGACAAAAATGCTATATAAGTGCAAAGACTGAAAAGAAAGTGAAATATTTAGCAGCTAATATTTCTTTGTCAATGGAGTCGGGGTCATTCCACACAAAAGCACGGTAAAAAGCTCTGATCTCTATATTTCCATCAGCATAACCCATTTCTTTTGCCAAGACTTATTTTATGGTATCAGACTATCAGTATTCAAAAGCTCAATGGATAAATTTTTCAAGCATGATTTCCCATCATGCCTTATCACCCAAGTCAGCATAAATTTCAAGAAAGAGTTAAAGTTTACTGCAATGTTTGTCAAATGCATGCAAGATGAGGCATGGCTTAATTTTTAACTATACAAAATACAGAGCAGGCAGCAATGTTATATGTAATGAATCCATCTGAGACAGATCAGCCATAATGATCTTGCAATTCAGTGTAAATCCATGCCTAGACATTCTTCAAAGCATTGCATTTGTGATCTCTCCTAAGCTAAGTCTCCAATCTACTAATTCTATGCTTATGTATATAAAACATGCTAAAGTTTTTATACTACAATACTACAGTTTATATTCAATTATTAGAGACATAAGATCTAGCTTAAATTTCATGACTTACAGTTGACTTCACCAAAATGTTCTAAATACATTGTGATTGCTATTTTGACTTTGATAGCCACTGCCTAGATCCATAATGGGTCACCACGTGCCACAAGGGGTCCCTGTGTTGAATTATTACATTAGGAGGCGGGTTGGATAAGATCATGCCACAAATGGTGCAATAATCAGGATAGTTAGGGGAGGCCAGTGCACAGGGCTCCCACCATTGCAAGGTCAGATGCATGCAACCTTACTCCTATGTGCAAAGCGGCTATTTTTGAGTTTTGAATCCATAGGGTATGTTTGATTGGAAGGATTAAAGTATGGGATTGGGATTATTAATCCGTGGGTCCAATTATCCTATATTTGTTTTGACATTTTGGTTTAGGATTATTAATCCAATGGATAATTAATCCAACAAATTTGTAGGATTATTAGTAATGGGGTAGGGGTGGGATAGTTAATACCACACTAATTTGATAGGATTATTAATACCTCACTATTAGTGTTGTGAATCAAACATGCCAATAGTGTTCAAGTCGCAACGGAGCAACCTTACTATTGCAACAACGCCCACCCTCAATAATCAAGATAGATACTTAGCCCAATTCAACCAAACCTTGCCACCCCTGGTACCATCTATTAATTCATTGTTAGTTGCCAACAGAATCTATCTATTTTCTATGACTTACTTCTTGACGGTGTTCTGGATATTGCAGTTGCAACACATTGTAATTTCATACCATGAAGATGTGAACAACTAAATGCAAATTTTCTATCAGAAGGAAACAAACTAAGACAGCCATATCTTCCATGGCAATGAGGCAGAGCTAGTAAAAAAACATAAAAAAAACTCCATCTTCAACTTGTGTGGCTTAGTAGCCCTGTGCTGTTTCATCTCTATCATCAGTGCATGCATAGGATCTCATATAATCAAAATATTAGCTCGAAAGTGGCTTCACAGAGGATCTACGTACATAGTCTTATATCACAACAATCTACGGAAAACCTAACAAACATTTTGTAACACAATTTCAAGTTCAATTCTCACGAGAGCAAAATGATTCAAGGTGACTTCAACACTGAAACTAGCAGGTGAAGAAAGAATCTAACCACCAGTTTCCCTAACAATATCAAAATAAACGTCAAATCGACAAATCAATAAACCCTAACTTTTGGTTTGGTGATGCAGCACGTTGAACAAAATGCAAAATGCAAAATTCAAAAGCCAAAAATATTGATATATTTCCTTTTCTTTGCATTTTCTCAGCAACCAAACACAAACCCTAATCCAAAAAGAATAAAGGCATAATAAAACTAAAGATTGACGAAACCCTTACCACATATCGGTTTCTTTGATAATCCCATACTTTCCCCAAGAATTCGTGACAGCTCCCTTCTTTCCCTTATCACTAGCCTTCTTCTTATCCTTTTTTTTCCTCTTCTTCTTCTTATCTTCGTCTCTCTCCTTCCTCCTCCTCTTCTTCTCTTTCTCTCGCCTCCTCCGCTTCCTCTCTTTCTCTCTCTCCTCTCTCTTCCTCCTCCTCCGCCTCCTCTCCTCCTCGCTCTCCTCCGACGAATAGTCCGAACTCTCGGACTCTGAATCCGAATAATCATCTTCCGACGAAGACGAATACGAATCGTCGTCGCTGTACTTCCTTCGCGACCTTCGCTTCGAGCTTCGGCTTCTCTTCTTCTTGCTTCGACTGCTGTGCTTGCTTTCTTCTTCGGACCCATCATCGGATTCGAAATCGTCTTCTATCTTCCTCTTGGATTTGGTCGCAGTGTGGTCTTTCTTCGGTGGAGCTCCATTTTCTGGATCTTTCTCTTCCGGAGATTTCTTTCTGTCTTTTGGCATTTTTGTTGAGGGTTCCGAATTTTCTCAGTCTAGGGAATGAGAGTCACGAACTTGTGACAACACTCGTCTGTTTGGTTGAAAGGAAACCCAACAAGAAAGACGATAAAATTATAGTTTCATCCATTGATCTGATTTGATTGCGGTGATTATTTTGAATTTTTAAGTTATAATTCTATATTTATTTTTTAAAATTTAATTCAAAATATAATTATTATTTTTTAAAAGTTATAGTTAAACACATAATTTTAAATTTTTTTTAAAACTTAATTCAAATTAATATTTTTATTTTTTAAATATTTAAGGACATGTTTGGTAACGTTTACGTTTTCAATTTATATTTACAAAAATTTTGTAAACTGGTTTTTGTTTATTTTTTATTTATTTTTAAAAAAAACATAAACTACAAACGCGTTTGATTTAAACAAAATGTTTAAAAAAAATTTAAAATATAAAAAGAGTGAGAAATGACAAGTGGTGGCGGGTGGTGAGTGGTGACGAGTGGTGGCGACGGAAGACGATAGTGGAAAATGATGGCGGGTGGTGGTGGCGGAAGACGGTGGTGGAAAATGGTGGCAAGTGGTGGGTGATGGTGGCAGAAGACGGTAGTGGAAAGTGGTGGCAAGTGGCGGGTGGTGGCAGCGAAAAACGGTGGTGAAAAGTGGTGATGGTGGGTGGTGGTGGCGGGTAGGGGTGTGCATAATACCGCCGAAACCGCCAAAACCGCACCGTACCGCACCGCCAAGGCAAATTCGTTATTATTTGTCAATTGAACCGCCGGTTTTTGGTAAGAAAAATGGCAAATTCTAGTGACACTTTCATCAATCCGCCGGTTTCTATTTTTTTTCCAAACCGCACCGACCCGCACCGCTATTAAATCATGTTTTATAGGATTCTAAAAATTCTTTTTCTATTCAAAAATCATAACCAAACAAATTTTCTACACTCAAATTATAATTTCAAAACACACAAACTCAAAATACAACTCATATTCTCAAAACATAGTTAGAAAGTCTTACCAAACGGAGCCTTTTTTTTCTTTTTTTTTTATTTGAAAAATATTAAGAATTTCAAATGCTTTATTAATATTTTTATCAAATATCTTATACGGATCAAAGACGTATACTATGTGGGTCTATATCAATCCCACACTTATGTGAAATTTTTTATAAAAATATTTGTAAAACATTTAAACCCTTAACATTATTTATTTTTAATTTTTTTAATTTTTTTTCTCCTTCTTTTTTCATTTTAGTACCACGGCAAATAAAATATATATAAATATATTTTTAAATAATACTTTTTTTTAGGAAAAATTATTTATAAGTCCTATTAGGGAAACTTATGTAATGTAAAGTCCTATGAAATTTCTTATTGAGTTTGAAGTCCTATTTAAATTAGAAAGTGTTCCATTAAGTCCTATCTATTGTGTTTAAATAGAATTAGTTTACTATTATACCTTTGATATATGTTGCAATGTTTTGTTTCCAAATTGTTTGGTGTCGTGATATGCGCCATGATCGTGGAGTCTGTTAGGTTTTCAATTTTTTATTGGGTTGGATGGTTTGGTTGTTTCATCTTGCTGCTTTGGAGTTAGATTGTTTGAGGGAATGAGATCAAGTTGTCTGCTTATTTAATTGGTGAGTGTTACTCTGGTTTTTTCCCGATTGTTTTGTTTTCAATGTTCTCATATATCGCATGGATTTCGCAATCTGTCGTAGCAATCCATTGGCACACTTTGTAATGGTAATCTTGCATCAACCTCCATGGTAATGATATTGTGTTATAATGTTCACATACGTGTCACATTACATTTCGTAAAAAATGTTTTACGAAAGCTTATTAGATTAGAAAGTGAGAATGTGAGAATGTTGCTGGGTTCTGCGAAATGATACAGCTATACATTGGCGCAATTCCGTTAGAGTCGAAGGCTGTTACGTGTGTAATGGTCTGTGTTACATTCGTTTGTATTTAGTTTGTGTTTTGCAGTTGTGCTACTTTTTGAAACATATGTGTCACATTACGAATCACAAAATTATTGGGCTTCATTTTTTCTTTTTCAATGTCACATTTGCTTGTCTGTGGATATTATTGGAATGTATGTGAATGTAACTCACACACGCATGGACATGAGCATGGTTTTTGTATTGTGTTGTCTTATTCTTGTATTTGATGTGGCCATATGTGTCATATTTCGTTTCGCAAACTCTTTGGTTTCTATTTTTTACAATTGAATATGACAATTGTTTCGGTTGATGGAAATTATTGGAATGTATATTAATGTTAATCTAACTTTTCTTTGTATGTTATTTAATTTGAGTTGTCATTGTTCAGACATGAAATTGAATGTGATTGATTGTGATTGAATATGGGTTTGACCACGTTGTACGATGTCGATGTTACTGCGCTCACATTTGATTTCATGTCACATATCTTCTATGCATTGTTCTTTTGTTTTGTAGAATGTATGTCACGGTTAATGTTTCATTCATTTTGTTGTGCAGGATATGGACATCATGCTTTTTTGCACATTCGGTTCATCCACGGTTGCTGTCAGGGGTGTTAATGGATTGACATTAAAATAATTGATACAAACTTTATGTGATAGGTGGGTGGATGTGACAGTATCATCGATTTCCATATCTTACAAATTACCGTGTCACGAGAACCAATTCATGATGAGTAATGATGTGGACACGGAAAACATGTTTTCCATCGCAAGGTTCATTGGCGTTACTCATATCAACGTTGCGATTGACTCGCAAAATGAGGTGGATGATTTGAATCGAGGTACTCAATTCAGTGGGATTATGTTTGCAAATCAACTGGATCCTCACAGTGAACCATTTACAGGTCCCCAACCTTGCGTAGATTTGTTGCCCAATTATTGTCGCCATAGTAAGAAAATGTTGATGACAGTTGATTGGTCACACGACATTATTCATGTAAGCCAATGTTTCGAAGGGGGTGTTGCTGCTTTCCGTTTGGTTTTGTCCAAATATGCTATTGAGTGTGGGTTTGACTTCAAATTTGTTAAAAATGATTCAGTGCGGGTTACGGCAGTGTATACGTTGCGAGAGCAAAAAGGGTGTTCATGGTTGATACATGGAAGAGTTTAAACATGCAATGGATATTTTTACTTGAAGAGGTTGAACAACTTGCATAATTGTAGTGCTATTGTTCGCACTGGGAAGAATAACAGACTTAACTCTGAATTGGTTTGCAATGTTATTGGTGATCGATTACGTGATAAGTCGCTTACACGTCCCACTAACGTCGTGTTAACCTAAAAAAGGAGTACGACCTTAATGTTAGTTACCACATAGGATGGTTAGGTGTGAAGAAGGCAAGAGGTGAAGTGTATGGAGACTATTATGTTTCATTTGATCAACTTAGGTGGTACGCGGATGCGGTTATGCAGTACAACCCTAGGAGTTATGTCAACTTGGATTTTGAGCAATCTACCGGCTGATTTAAGTGGTTCTTCATTTCATTCAAAGCTTGCATTGACGGATTCAACCATATCCGCCCATTATTGTTTCTTGATGGCATTTTTTTAAAAGGGAGATTTAAAGGCAATTTGCTTGCAGTGACGGGGAAGGATGGCAACAAAGGTATGTGTCTTACGATGATTACTTCATACTTCCATATAGTAACGCATTACATTGTGACTAAACATTTTTTTTAGTCCACTACAGTAGTGGGTGATCCCCAATTGAAAGATTGTTTTCAATTTAATGTTATTTTAATAACATTGTGTATGATGCGATTTGAATTGTGAACAATTATTAATGTGGACGTAAACTTTGTTAAAAATATTACACATCTAACGGTAAACCTGTTACATCTGCCAGGTTTATTTCCATTAGCTTTTGCTATTGTTGACTCTGAAACAACTGCAAATTGGACTTGGTTTTTACAGCAACTGACAAAGGTTATTAGTAGTGCTCGCAAATTAACTTTTGTATTCGATCGTAATATTGGGCTGCTTGAATCCTTGCTTACTGTATTCCCATCTGCACACCATGCATACTGCTTACAACATCTCCAAGCAAATTTGAGGGACAAGTTACGATGGGTTGACAACCATGTACATTTTGGTTTAATGGCCAAGTTGCGTGAATGTGCGTATGCTCCAACCGAGGCTTCGTTTCAGCAGCATTGGACGAAGCTAAAAGGAACAGGACGATCTGAAATAAATAATTTCTTGGAAGATATGCCACCGAAGCATTGGGTCAACACAATATTCAAGTTCGTACGAGAATTACACGTGCTAACATTGCAAGTACTCAATATGTGATAACATTTTCATTATGTTTTCATAATGTCAATAGGGGCAAACGGTATGGGGAGATAACCTCGAACGCTGTAGAATTGTTTAATAAATGGATACTTGATGCTCGTAATTATCCAATCACAAGGTTGGTTGATACAATCAGAAATCAAATAATGACTATGAGGGTTGAGCATAAAGTTTTGGCTACTAATTGGAATGGGTTACTTTGTCTGAAAATGGAAAGCTGTGTTAGGGAAGCGTACTCCAATGGTTGCACATGGATTGTTAGCTAGTCAAATAAAGACATATACGAGGTCCATTTATTTCTAATGGTGTTGGTAGACATTGGCAAGCGTTCATGTTCATGTTTCCAGTGGCAATTGAACGGATTCCCATGCGCACATGCGATGGTTGCAATACAGAATAGTGGAAGGGATTTCAGTACATGTGTTGAACAATGTTTCACTGTCAATCAGTATAAAGCCGCTTATTCCGGATACATTTAGCCAATACCAACAGTTGACAAACCCTCATTCTCGGAAGACGACTTCATCATATATCCACCGGTAGTTAAACGTCCTCCAGGGCGACCCAAGAAGAATCGAATACCATCTCAGGGAGAGAAACTAAGTCAGATCAGGTGCGGTCGATGTGGCCGCATGGGTAGCCACAACCAAAAGACATGTAAAGAACCAATTTAATAATAGGCATTTAGCAGGAACTTTTGTAATCTGTTTTGAATAGCAGCATCGTGTTATAGTAGTAGCATGTATCGAAGCAAATTGATGACATATTTTAATAAGTGAACACACTGTTTACAATTGATCATTCGGCTATTTTTTCTTTTACAC